CTGGTTCTAATTGGGTTCTTAACCATACTTTCTTACAAATTTTATGGTGAGGAGGAACTATCTTATCTTCTATAGTTTCAGGATCTGGTCACAAAAGTCTACCCCTTCAGGATTCTCTTATCAATATAAATTTGGGCTTGCATTTCTCCTACAGTGAACAGGCAGTTTGCTGAAGAATGTGACACACCCTATCTTCTTAGGCCAGGCAAGGTTGCAGGTAAATTGCTTCTTGGAAAAGAAAGCATGTGGGGGATGGCACAGTGGGCCCATTTTATTGAATTATTTTGTCTTAACTCATGTTCCCACCATCCTTATCTGTCTGTCTCATAAGAATTTAATATTTATAAGAATAAAAAAGTTGGAAATCTAGTGTGTTCCCCTAGCTATGAGAAAACAATATGTTCCTCATCAAATCAATGTGAAAGGCTGTTACATGGAAAATAACTAAAGCAATTCTCATGCCATTTGTTTCTACTATTTCTTCCTGTAACGTATCTAAATTTAAAATGTGCATTTCATTTTTATTTCATATTCTTGAAGTTAAAAGAGATTAGAAAACCTAAAGTGTTTTCTGTTCAAGTGGATTTAGTTATCGCTGTACTGGGGATACTGTTCTTCCTCTGACTTTTCTCTTTAAAAGCTAATTTCCCCAGTGCTCCGTTTTACAACCCTCTCTCTCAGGACTTGCTCTCTTCCTCCCTGAAACCACGCTTGTGGATTTGGCTGACTCTTCTAAGGAGTTTGTTTCTCATGCTGCTGTACAAAATTGCCACAACTTAGTGGCTTAAAACAACACAGATTTATTATCTTGTTGTTCTGGAGGTCAGTGTCTTGAAGCCAGGTGTCTGCAAGGGGCTGTTCCTGTAGGAGCCTCCTCAGGAGACTTTCCCCACCTCCTCCCACTCCTGGAGCCTGCCCGCCCCCACTCCATCTGCAAGGCCAACATTGCAGATCTTCAAGCTTCTCCGTGACTGTGACCTCTGCTTCTTCACAGCTCCCTCTCTGATGGAAATGCTTCTTCCCTTGTAAGAACCCTGTCTTTACACTGATGACCCCCATAATTCAGGATTATCTCCCCATCGTAAAATCTATAAATACATTTTATCTTACAAAGTGATGTATCCATAGGTTCTGGAGACCTCTGAGGAGGGGGACATGGTTCTGCCACCCACAGTGATGACTCTCACTCTTTGTTCCCACAGCCCTTGCTTTTATTTTCTTACTTCTTACACGGACACCTGCTTATCAAATACAAGGGGCTCAGGGATGAATGTGTCTTCCTGTTCCACACATTTGGTTTCTTTTGATTTCTTTGGTACATCATGCATGCATCTCCTAAGCAAAGAATTATGAAGCCAAAGAACTGGGGATTGTCCTCAACTCAGCATTTTTCACTCACTTGCTAAAAAGCCAAGATGGATGTGCATATATCTCAATCAGTATCTACATCTCTGTATAAAATACATGGATACCCAACTTCTAATGTGTTGCTATTAAGAGGTGGGCCCCTGGGAGGTGACTAGATCATGAGGGCAGCCCTCATGAATAAAATCAGTTTCATTATAAAAGAGGCCTGAGGGAGCTTGCTTACCTCTTCCACCACGTGAGGATAAAGCAAGAAGGTGTCATCGTTAAGGCAGACAGTGGGCCCTCATCAGATACTCACTACACAGCTACCTGCATCTCGAACTGCCCAGTCTTCAGAACTATGAGTCACAAACTTGTGTTGTTCACAAATTACCCAGTAATTGATTTTGTTCAGAAAGCTGAAATAGGTCCAGTATAGCGGTGCGCACCTGTAATCCCAGCGGCTCAGAAGGATGAGGGAAGAGGATGGCAAATTGAAAGCCAGCCTCAGCAAAAGGCACTGAACAACTCAGTGAGACCCTGTCTCTAAATAAAATACAAAATAGGGCTGGCGATGTGGCTCAGTGGTAGAGAACTCCTGACTCTCTGGTACTCACCTCCCTCAAAAAATAAAAGCTGGAATAGACTAAAACAAATTCTATTTAGCCTTTTAATACCTCCCCGCTGCAATATTATCAAACATATTTCTCCACCTTGACTGTTGGACCTCTCTGATCTTGTTTCTGGCTAGTTCAGTCATGTATTTTACACCATAGGATTCATTTTGTTGCTCCTGGTTCACTTTGTACTTACTGTGCTCCTTGAGCTATGTGTTTCTCTCATTCTAAGATTGGTCATGCCGCAGTAAAGACAACTATTGCGTGCTATGCTGTATATGTTTTTCTAAACTGTTTTTGTAGAATATATTTTTATTTGCTTTCATATCTCATCATTTAGCAGAGTCTTTAGCACAATATATATTTTTCATAATAAAGTCTATCTTTCTGGTTTTCCAAATTTATGAACAAAAAGCATTTTAAACCCCTTGACATTATGAAAGGAGATGTAATGTTCTGGAAGATTTAATAATTTATGAGGCTTTTGGTCTAATGCACTCTATTTGGGAGATATTGGAAAGTTAAAGGTTCATATTAAATCTTGTAATAAAGCAAGAAATTGCACTGACAATTTATATAGCATAAGAGATTTTGGTAAAAGAAATCTATAAACATATTCTAAATAATATATGTATATATATGTATTTTATAGTTTTTCTGTGCTTTAAATATAGCTGATATTAGTTTCCTTCTCTTTTTATTCTCTCTCTGTTTTTTCATTTTTAAACAATATGCTTGACAAGCACCATAAGTCATTGTTCTCATCAATGACTTGTTTGGAATTGTGTCAGGGGTAGGAATCTGTTTTTAAAGGATCCTCTTACACTTTTTCTCTTTTTCCACCTCACCCCAGATTTAACCTTGCCATGACCTAAAGTTTTCAACTGCCGCTCTGCTCCCATCACATACATGAGCCTTCGTTTTCCCCTTCTAAGTATTAATGTGAAAGTCAAATACATCTAGTTCATTTTTGAGGGGGGCTGGCAATGGGGGGAGTAGCCTACCAACTTAACCAGTTACATTTTGGCAGAAGCAAATTATCCCTGAGGATCATGATCCCTGGAATTTAATTTTCTTCAAGGTTGCCTAGAAAAAAGAGAGAGAAAAAAAAAAAAAAAGATTGACCATGGGTTGAAATTCTGTAAATAATATTCCCTAAAGAAGTCCCTGCTGTTTTCATGTATATGTTCATGTGTATGTTTTCATGTGTAGGTGTCTGTGCACAACCTTTGTGGTGTCTACTTTCATGTCCAGTACTCAAGTGAGAATATTCCGAAGAAGACATATAGGATGGGTGGAATTTGAAATTCCTTTCCCAGGAATACAGTATTTACACTAATATCCATGCATTTCCTAAAATAAATTCCATCAGATGCCAAGTTCTCTACTGTACATGTTGATTCTGAACCTAGAAAACTTTGTTTTCCTTTAGCTTCCCCCTGTATTAAACCTTCTCTCCTAGGATGGGAGGTATGCACTGTTCTTGATCCACAGCTGCCAAAGCGTGGCCACGTGACTGGCTGCCAATCCAGCATCCTGCTGGAGACTCTGAAGCAGGAGGAAGTGACACAAAGATACAAGGACAAACAAATCTGTCAAGAAAATAGTTTCAAGAGCCCCAAGTGCTACAGTGAGTTTTCAGTGCTTAGGGTTTTTTAAGGAGGGTATTTAAGGGTGAGACGTTGCTATGTTTCCAATCATATATCTCTCTTCCTTTCTATTGTTTTCTGAATTTAGTTCTCAAGATGTCCTTTCATTTTTGGAATCTTCTGGGAATCTTGCTGCAAATAGCCCCATTTATGTTTTCGAGAGTCGGTGTGTGTTGTTTACAGGCAAGAATGCTGACTGATGTGGTTTGGAGATGATGAAAAAAGAATAATGAGGAAAGAGGCGTCTTAGGGAGAGTCTCTCCAGAAGAAAATAAAAGGCAGGAATTGGAGGGCCAGTGCTTTATTTATTTGGAAGTAACTTCTGGAATCACAGGTAAGGAGGCAGAAGGTGATCCAGGGGAATGTGAGCCAGAGGGAAGGATGTGATGAGCAGACTACAGGTCAGACCTGTTGGGAGAAGAGTGTCTGAGGGGTAAGAGGGACAATGTATTCATTCTCACTGTCCATTTGGCATGAATGAGTACTCTTTCTGGGAATGTGAAATTCTCCACCTTTTCATATTGTCCAGTTCACAGACTGAGAAAAGACTCCTGGCCAGAGAACCACAAATGTTTACAGCAGGACACTTCTTACTCACGTGGAAAAAGTGACCACAAAGTACTCCTACAGACAGACTAACAACGCTGGGGGTAGTTTTTGTGATATGTCAGCTTGGCTAGACTATAGTTCACAGCTACACAACTGAATGTGAATACAATAGTTGCAAGGAAGGGATTCTGTAGATGTCATTAAAGGTTCTAATAAGTTGTCATAAGGAAAGGGGAATTGTCCTAGATAATGTAAATAGGTTTGGCTGAATTAGTTACTTGTACTTAAAAGAAGGGTTGATATTTCTACCAGAGATGAAGAAATTCCTCTTAAAGAAAATACCTTCAACCTGTTCCCACGGAATTCCACTCTGTTTGCCATCCTTCTTTGTGGCTGACAGCTTCAGACACGTTGTACTCAGGGCAGAACCTTTCTGACTGCCTGCTCATTCTCCAGGTACCTCAAACATGTTCATTCCACAATCCTGTTATCATTTAGCTAACTATTGATCTATTATTATCATAATATTTGAAATGATATAGTCTTATAGGTTCTACATGTCTGCTTGAACTCTGACTGGTATATACTTTTTTAATACCTGGAAATAAGTGCTGCCATCACAGATACAGAAAAATATGGGAAATCCTTGGAGCCAAGTAGTTGGAATCCAGAAGTAACTTGAAGCAGAATTGGAAAAGCTTACAAATAATAATAATTGTCTTCAACAACTAATTTTAAGTAGAACTATGGATTCTGTGAGGCTGACATTGTGTCATGTGCCTATAATCCCAGCTACTTAGGAGGATGAGGCAGGAAGATCTCAAGTTTGAGGCCAGTCTGGGCATTTCAGCAGGACTTTATTTCAAAATAAAAAAACAAAAAGAGATGATAGAACTTAGTAGTAAACCTGGATTTCATCCCAGTACTGCAAAACACAAACAAGGAAAGAAACCAAAAAGGATTTCATGAGTTTTCCTCATGAGGGCTCAAGAAGATGTAAAGGGCATAGTATTAGAAACAGGAGGAAGGATGATTCTTTTTGTGTGTGTGTGTGTGTGTGTGATGGCAGAAAGTTAGTGATTATGCTGGAAATGTAGCTTCGTGGTACGGAACTTACCAAATATTCATGAGGCCCTGATTTCAATTTCCATAATAGCAAAGACAAACATAAGAGATTTGGTAGAATTGTCTCCTGAATTTATGTGGAAAGTAGAGAGGTTTTTTTTTTTTTTTAATTTAATTTTTTTTTTTCAGAAAATGGCCGAATGGGAAGTCAGATTTGAAGCACATCAGAATTTCTTGCTAATTCAGAGATGGTGGGGGTCACATGCAGGAGCCAAAGAGCAGCCTTGAATGTGTTTTAGGGCTGCCATAACAACATATTGTAGGTTGGGTGATCTAAACAATAGAAATTTATTTTCTAACCATTCTAGAAAGTGGAAGTTTGAGACCATTGTTTCAGCAGGGTTGACTTTTTCCGAAGTTCCTCTCCTTGGCTGATAGATGCTCATTTTTTCTTTCTCTTTACATGATCTTCTTTGTGTACATGTCTGGGTCTAAATTTCCTCTTCATCCAGGGTACATGTCATCTTGGATTATGGCCCAACCATATGACCATTTTATCTTAATTTCGTCTTTAAAAACTCTGTCTCCAAATGTAGATATGTTCTGAAGTGCTCAGGGTTAGGATTTCAACACACGAATTATAGGGGCACACAAAACCCATTCACGTTTCAAGTTTCTGAGAACCACACTCAGGCAACAGTCAGCCAGAAAAAAAGGAATATCAGTCCTACAACAGCAAGGAATTCGATTTACTCTCAGCAAGTTGAATAAGCGCAGAGAAAGTTCTTCCTCAGAGGCTCCAGATTAATTTCCAAGTTGAGCAATTCCTTATTTCTATCAGCCCTCCTGGCCTTCTGACTTGCAGAACTGTGAGAGAGTTTTTGAAAGCCTCTAAGTGATGGCTAATTTGTTATGTAGCAGTAGAAAATGAATACACATGCCATATATTGTTAGCTAGCCAAACCTTCTTAAAGCAAAAAATAAGAAATATTGTAATAGGGAGATTCAATGAAAGAGTCTACATTCCTTGACACTGCCGTGGATCCCAATGTCCTAAGTCTTCCTTTTCCTTCCAAACCTGCTCTAGATCTCACCTTCTTCATCCAGCACTCTTTTTTGTCTACTTTACTTGCCCAAAGTTCTGTGTAGGAAAAATAGATGAGACTAAGAAGACACAGAGGGAAACTCCTTGTGTCACCCACTACAGGTCACATTGATTTCTTTCCCTTCACTCACATCTTTAGACTTTATTGGTGAAGCCAGAATTAAATACAGGCAGTCATTGTAGATGGTAATCAGGTTGGACGGAGAAAATGGAGTCCACTTTGGGTCCAGGAAGCTGGAGACCACTCCTGAGGAATTAAAATGTTAATGTCTTCAGAGCCCTTCCTCTGCCCTTATCAAAATAACCTGCCCCTGCTCCAACCTGTCGCTAAGGTAACCAGTCCCAGGGATTGTCCCTCCCTACAGGGAGTTATAAAAGTTGTTAATTGGTGCCTGGATCACTCCATTTGGCCTATCTGCTTCTCACCTTTTGGCTATCCCACCTAGGCTATCTCCTGGGCCTAGCCCAGGTATAAGGGGGTAGAAAGCAGGAGAACAAAGAAAGTCTATGATGTATAAAAGGGGCAGGACACCCTCACTTCTTGGGATGCCTGGATACTAGCTATGGCCCCCTAATCCCTCCCTGGAGAAGTCTGTGTTACTACTTTTTAAATAAACCCTGCTTTATATGCTTGCTTTGGGTGCTTCTCTACTGTTCAAACATCAACATGTGAGGAAGCAGAACTTGATAACCAGCAGTATTATTGGGACATTGGGATTTTTTTTCCCCACAATGAGTAATAGAGTAGGATAATACCTTAGACTGGTTCATGGATCAGCCACTTGTTTGTTGGTGAGGGCCAAAAATGGAGTACAGACCCACTGTTATGAAGTGATTTTGTGTCACTCCAAAATTTTTGCGTTGAAACCCAAATGCCCAATGTGATGGTGTTTGGAAGTGGAGCCTCTGAGAAGTAGTCAGGATTAGCCCAAACATGAGGCAGAGTATGCTAGATGTGATTCTGAGAGTTCTTAGAAGTTCTTAGAAGAGACTCCGCAGCTGCTTCTCACTCTTGTATAAGGTGCCATCTTCCAGCCAATGAGGAAACCGGCACCAAAAGCTGAATCTACAGGTACCCGGATCTTGAACTTCCTAATCTTCAAACTGTGAAAAATACAAGTCTGTTATTTAAGCCCTTCAGTCTATGGTATTTTGTTATAGCAACCTGTGTTGTCTAACACACCCATTTGAGACCCCCCCCCCCGTTCATGGTGGGCTGGCCCTCACAATGATGTGGGGTATATTTCATTCTTGAGTAAATATCTGTTCACTCTTTTCTTATTAAACTGAAATGAATATCTTGCCTATTCAAAATTATCAATAAATTTGGAAGCCCTTAACTGGCCCCAGCCAATTCCCTTTTGCTTATGCCCCTATATTTTTTTAAATAATAAGCTGAATTCTTCATAATAATCAAGATTAATTTTACATGCCAGTGCAGTAATATTTGGTAATTTTTTCATGTATACAAAAATGAAGAGTACAAAATAATCAAGTGGCAATCGTAGTTTTATCTTTAAGTTGAAAGTTAACTATTTCTCTTGATAAAGAAGCCTTCTTATGACTCACTTCTAACCAGAAACCAGATCTCTGTTTCAGCAGATCCTATATAAGTTGAAAAGGGAAATACACTTGCTTCAGTAGCCCAGTGGGAGAGGTGATATGAAAGACCACACTTCCCTTTACATGTTGATTTTCCAACCATATGAACTCTCACTATTAGTGTCATGATACCATGGCATAGATGCTGGTTCTAAGAATATACCATATCTTGAAGGAAGAAGATCCAATCCCATGGACTATCATATCAACAACTTAGCTATGTCTATGAAAGCTGTTTTTATGCTCTAACAAAGAAGAAATTTCATGGAACTGTACTACATTATAAGGAGTCAGTCCTATATACAAGTGACCAAGGGTTCAGGTCCTTCCTATGCATTTGGTCCTTTGGTCCATGGTAATGCTATACTGTTACACAGAATCTCGTAATTTTTAGTGTGTCTTTGCATTTGGTGCTGACCAAGGTTACTATAAACATGACAGAAAAACCCATACTTAGATTACATCAATCTCTGTAAGGAAACACTGCTGCTTCTCAGTGTCCTCATGTGTAATTATGCAAATCTTTTCTGTTTTATGAGTACCCATAAGAATGATCTGGTTGGCCTCACCAAGGATTAACTTTATTATTCAAGATCAGTTTTTCCCCCTAGTTTTCTCCTGATAATTTGAACATTAACATCAGAAGCAGCTTGATTAGCTTGGTGAAAAGAATTGTGTTGGTGTGTATATGCACATCCTCTTTCTTTTTTATTTAAATTAACTATTTCAATGTAAGTTAATTATTGATGGGATGATTATATAGTCTGGGGTGGCTGATGACAAGTTTTATAACTTCAATTGTCTGGATGACTCTCTGTACTGATTTTCTTTCTTTTCTTTTTTTTTTTTTTTTTAGTGTTTCATATTTTGTTTCTTTTAGGCACCCGACTGTGAATCCAAGAAATTAGGCAGACATCAACATTTCATGTGCACCTTCAACCAAGTGTACTACTTTGTCAGTGAAAGTCCATGACTGCATGAATTTCTCAAAGCTCTTCCTTCTCAGTATCTTTCAAGGAGGCCCCGAAATGAGGCTGTGGTATTCATTTAGGAAGTGAGAACAGTCCATATTTTGGTTCATGCCAGCATATTGAACTGACCCACCCATGAGTCAAGATCAGATTTCTACCTTTTCTGTCATCTGGTTGTAAAAAGCCCTCCCTAAGGAAGACATAGATATAAATTAAAGGATAGATGTCAGGGAAAAAAGGTGTCAGTGATGTGGGGTCTTGGTGAAGAATTTGCATATTTTTTCATGCTCTTTGGAACTGGTGAGGTCTAATTCCAAATATACCAATTCTATTGTATGACAAATGTGGCTGTGTTGGACATAACTTATAGTCTTTCTGACAATATCCAGCCATTGATGCACATCTCATGACATTGTTACTGCATAGTTTGTGTTCTGGTACTTAGTCTTCGGTAGGGTCAAGGAGCACACCAAATATTCCTTTTCAAAAGGTAACCATTTTTGTTTCCTAAACATGGTAGGGCTTGCTCCACTTCCCAGGTATGAGATGTGCTCTTCTCTGTGACTCTAGAGATGAGCCATAATGTCTGAATGTACCAAAAATACCTACTGCACCAAATGATCTGCAAAGTCATTTGAATGAAGAGGCAGTGCTACTTGTTCCAGAGCCTGAGCATTCTGCATCATCATCCAGTTCTGAGTCACATTATAAACTGATAACTATTTGGGTCAACCATCGCATGGGGTAAAGCCATATTCCCAAGTGTGGGATGCATTGTTTACAGCATCCACAAAAGTTGATTGAGGTTATCATCTGTCTGCTTTTCACCATTTGCGGTGGGATGGAGTACAGATGAAGAGCTAAAGCATTGCTTGTATAATACCTCTTTTTATATGAAATACATGGACTAAATGATGAAGATTGTGAAAAAGGTGAGCTGTTGTTAGTGGCCATATACACTCTAAAGGAAGAAAACAGAGACTGTCAAATCAGGTTGCAGAATGAAAATCTGAAGATATTCTTTGCAGCATTTAAAGGGGTTCATATGTCCTTTGCCTGAAGAGCAGAATGTCTTAAAAATGTAGCTCAAGATTTTATGGTAAGAGAGTTAAAGTCAAAAGAAGGCTAAATTCATATTTCAGGAAAAAAATTATGTTAAATTCTGGGAATACAGAGCTTGGTGGGTATATTTGGGAGAATGAACTTGAAAATATTGGTCCCTCTGACCCAACAGGAAAGGGTCACATTGCCTAACACTATGCAAAAGAATCACACAAGAGAAATGCCTTACAAGTTGGTACTTGTCCTGCTCATTCTCTTCTCCTGTCTCCCCTAATTTCTTCATGACCAACCACATAAGGCCAATATCAGCATGATCCAAACAGGAAAATAATGTTCCTCACAGGAATCTCTATTCAGCATCTAGCTGCAGGCCTGGATAACATGTGCCAATGGGACTGGGGATACCTGCCTGTCTGTCTGGGTCCTGAGGGTTCTGGAATTTGGAGAAGAATGACTCTTCACATAGCACTGTCTTCATGCATTCCTGTTGCTGTAAAAACAAAAGAATAATTATAAATAATCGACATTTATTTCTGGTGGTTCTGAAGGCTAAGATCAAGGAGTCAGCAGACTTGGTATCTGGTGAGGGCTATTTACTCACAGATGAGCTCTCTGGGTATAGCCTCAGATGGTTAAAGGGGAAAATAGCCTCCCTTAAATCTTTAATATTATGATGCTATTTTAATCTGTTTTTATATTGCTATAACAAAATACTTGTGGCTTTTTTATATAAAGAAAAGAGGATAATTTAGCTTACATCTCTTCTTCCTCTGGAGAGAAATTCATGACAGATGGCACCACAATGGCAGGAGCACACGTAGAAGAGATCGCATGGTGATAAAAGGAAGTCAAGAGATTTAGGGATCAGACTTGTTTTTTTTTTAAATGAATTCACTCTGGTGGAAATATATAGGTTTGAGAGTTTTAGTGACCTAAGCAACTGGGAGGTTGGGGCACAGACTCCTCACCTTCAAGTGGAAAATTTGTGTTCAACTTTTGAGCCTCTCCAAACTTAACCTCGAATGGTCTCTTGTTGACCAGAGGCCTTATTAATCACAAAGACAGTTGATTAACATATATTTTGCATTGTTTATGTATTATATACCACATATTTTGCACATGATGATATTTTACTGCAATATGTAATTTACTGAAGAAATTGAACTGCTCATGCAGAGATGATTAGCAGCAGCACATTGTGTTTTAAGTGGATATTTGCAACACTTGAGCTCACCTTAGTAACAATAGTAATAAAAGGTGGCTATGAAATTATCACAGTAGTTCAGTAGGCACTTTAGTTCATTTTTTACAGATATGATTTAATATTGCTCCTTTAATTTTATCATCCTGTTAACCTCAAAGGGTGCCATGTATGGTCTATGTATTTGTGTACTTAAGTTTTGATAAATTTTGACCTTTTTATAATAGCTTTATATATACTTTGGTTATATTTTACAATATGCTATTGATACATATTCTATTCATTCATGTCATTAAAAAATATAGTTTACACTGTTTATTAAAGATTTTTTGAAAAATTATCACAAATCTTCAAAAAGGACTATATATAAGTTGACTCATTCAGTTCAGACCCATCTTGTTCAAAGGTTAACTATGTACTTTTCACTTCTGAGGTTGAGCTTCTAAGAACCTCTTCATCTTCCATTAGATCCTATCTGTAAAACATTCCACCATTTCTCAACACTGTAACATTGGGGAAAGAGCTTCTAGCACCAAACTTTTTAGGGCCACACAAATCACATCCAAACTAAAGCAAGTTCTTTGTCCATGATGACTCTCCCCACATTAAGCTAACTGCCTCCAAGAGGCCTCAAACTTTAGTATCATCACCTTAGGAGTAAAGTTTCAGTGTATGTATTCTGAGAAGGTATATGCATGTAGGCTGAAACAGTTGTTATCAAATAATAAGACCATATTTAGCCATTATATGCACAGAAATTCATCTGGTTTGTACATTTATATATGTGTTCCTATTTTTCCCTAAATTTGCAAGTATGCCCTTTCTGAAAGATTAGAAATCCTTTGAGATCCAGGACACAATTGTGTAGTCTGCCCCTTACTTTCTACAGTGTCAGTAAACAAGTATTGGGGAAAGGATGTGGGAGTGGAGCCTGAATACAGCATGTCACTGATTCTGATTTGCACCAGTCATACCTAAAAGTAGGTGTTCTGCACTATGAGCTAGTTCTAAGAGAGTAACAAATAATTCTTAAGAACATAATTTTATTAATTTGATTTAGAGTTCTGATGGGCAATGGCAAAGTTTTCATTAATGTTGTAGGTTTTAACTGTCATGTAGAAATGACAGATGATCCAAAAACAAAAAAAAAAAAAAGGAGGGAGGTAATTTGCAGGTTGGAAAAACCCACCTGGTCAGTTAGTTTTCTGCATTCTCTGGACTCTGAGTATCAGATTTTCCTTATAAACCTATAGCTGAAGCATGAAA